CATTAAATTCCAGTGAAATATATTTATGTTTGTGGTTGTAATGTGACAAAATATGGAAAAGTTCAAGGGGTATGAATACTTTTGCAAACCACTGTATTTACTGACATTGGTGTCATATACTAAACGTATAAATGTCTAACTAGAACAAAAAAGCTCACATCATGGAGTAACAGGTTAGAGCTGCCAACCCATTTTGATTATTTAATAACCAGTTTTCATCACCACCAACACAAAAAAGGTGCAACAGTACCACGAGAGGCCCGATTAGGGTGCAAACTGTCAATATAAAGCTCTGGTGGTCACATGGTTTGGTGTGTTTACATTCACCAGGTTGACTTTGAGCACATCTTTGGGAAAATACAATCTTAGCAGTTTATAGGAGAAAACAAAAACAAAGATGTGATCATATTGACAACATGCTGCGTGGAGTGAAAGTGTAACACAATACAGTATCTCTTAAAATATTACTTCCAAGATACCCAACCGCAACTGTTTGACAAAAACAAAAATAAAGCATGAGGTGAACATTATTGTACAAATTGACAACTAGCATTTTTGTAGACTTAAGGCCTGACAGCTCAAACGGTCTTCAGTTAGCAGGTCAAGTCATTACAAGATTTTAACTTTAACGAAATATAAAGGATTATTTTTATGTAACAGTGTCTGGTGTACAAACTTTAAATTTGATTATTTGCACTCTTACTGCATGTTTTTATAGCAAATTCAGAACTGTGTGCTTTCAGTAACAGTAGTACCGAACAGTCCACACAACACGAGAAAAAAAAAGAAAAAAAAAGAAAGCCGCAGTGATCTCACTTTAGGTCAACTCATGACCTGTAGGATACAAAATGTTGATGCAGTTTTGTGTTTTTTTACGTTGAACAATATCTTGCTTTTGGTTGTACTTACTTCTCAGTCAACAAATATAGAACAAAAGAAAAATAGAAACATGAAAAATTGTCTTGGCTCAGACTCTCAATGTTACCATATAAAAACCCTACAAAGTCCAACACTTCGAATCCAGTCTGTCACATTGATAAGAGTGCACACCGACCTATCAGGAAAAGGCAGTCTACTTTGTACACGATATAATGGCAGAATTCAGTACACAAGTCACATAAATTCAGAAGGCAGAGTACCATGTAAACTCAAAAAGCAGCAAGTTTTTTAAAAAATGACAAGAGAACCTGAAAGCACTTACAATGAAAGTCATGTGCAATATGTATTTATATATGAAAGTATATATAAATATATATATATATACACATAAAATACAAACAGAAATTTAATGACACTGAGTTCACAGTACCTCAAAGTGAGCAGGAGATGCCAATCCAATAATGAAAAATACTATAACGTACATCTATGGGTTTTTTAACGGCTATTTAAGAAGTCAAATGAAATAAGTTGCATGCCTGCAACCTGCATAAACCATTACACATATTTAACCTAAATGGATGTTGGCTGGGTTGAACAAAAGTAAAAAGTTGAGTGTTACGTCACACAAAGCGAAACAAAAAAAGACCTAGATGATGAGGAGAACCATGAGCAATGACAGAATAAAATGAGACCTGGATTGTTTTCTTTGGGTGGAAATCTCTTTTCTTTACTAACAAGGCTACAGTTTTTTCAACAGGTGTATATACAGACATTAAACTGTAAAAATACACCAGTGAGTAGTACCTACAGTGAAGGAGAGAATTAGCTGAGCATCTAAAAGGGATGGACGATGTGAATTCAGTAAACTAAAGTCTGTCTCATTGTATTCCAGTCAGTTCTGTTGGGATCAAGTGTTGGATGTACTAACAGTACTCACCAAACTATTAGGCTTACCCCACACAACGGTCAACTCATTTCCAGTATTTCTACATGTATTAATGAATGTATGCTCTGACTGTTAAATATTAATAATAATTAAAATAAAATAATTCACAGCAGATGGTTTCTTTTATAATTTTTTCCATAAGGTTTGTGTGCCTTTATGTAGTTTTCTTCCCCGATATAAGGGACAATTTGGTGACAGATCCACCCAGAGCTTTGTAGAAAAGACACACCGGGGGAAACAAATCATTACAATCATAAGATTGACAAGGGATTTCTGAGAAGACTTGCTATTGAAGAGCTTGGCTGAAAGTTTCTTCGAGCAATGAAGATATTTTGACTTGGTCCATCTGTGAAGAGCAAAAATAAAGACATTTTAAACAACATTTACAGGTATGCAGCTGCATGCACAACAAGCAGCTCGGCTTGAAATAAAGCAGCCTGAGTTCTAATAATACAGGCTGACCTTTATCTTAGTGAAAACTGGGTGACCTATGACCTTGTTGCTCCTTTACAAAATACCCTTCAGACAAATGCTGACATTTTCTGACCACTGTAGAGCCAGAACATCTCACCGTGGCTGCATTTGTGGCCATGCTATAGACCAGCTGTCTGCCACCACACCTCCTCAGTCACTCAGATCTTTACACTGAAGAGACTGATGAGGACTACAGTTCTTCTGCTTAGAGCACATCAAAACAAACCATTCATATGCCGCCTAATATTTACCCCACCCACTGCCAGGTGCCAAGGCAACACGATGAATGGTTTTTTACTTTACTTGTCAGTGGTCATAATGCACACACACCCACAGGTTCTTGCAATCGTTAAGCACACAAAAACACCCACCTCACTGATCAGACCCAGTTGGACCAACTCTTCAGCCAATACTTGAACACTTTCATCTGAAACAGCAAAAAAAAAATATATATATATATGTAGCTCAGCATCACAGGGTTTCCCCAACATGTAAATGACCACCACACTTTCAGAATAAAGTTTAATAGGCCTATATTAGGCTAAAACATTGTAAAGCATATCCTATATTTGCACTCTTATACTAACCGTAGTCAGACTTTGAACCCTATTTAAACATCAATAAAAAGTTAAGATACTGTATTTTGAAAAACCAACACTGTGGGTTCTTGTGTGCAGCGAGGCTGTGAGCGCTGTGTGTGTGTAGTCCTCACAAAGATACTAAGGCATGTATGTGTGTCTGATGCGACAGCTTTGCAAGCTACTTTTTTTTTCTTTCAAGGAAGACATGACAGGTGAAGCTACAGCATGGTTATCTTATCAATAATACTGTGATACAGCAAGAATCACCAACACAGACCCTGTGTGTGACCCGGAGTCAGAGTTGTTTGTGAACTCAAAACACCATAAAACCAGGCAGAATCTGCTGCTGTTAACTTACAAACTGAGCATGCTTCTTTGTGTGTGTGTGTGTGTGTGTGTGTGTGTGTGTGTGTGTGTGTGTGTGTGTGTGTG